TACCTCGTCTCCTTTTAACACCTTCACTCACCATAGTTTCACACTTACTGCCCGATGACTTTGTAGGGTAACACAAGACATGACCAAACCATCTCAAGCGACCTTCTCTCATTTTATCCTCAATGCGTTCTATTTGCACCTTCTGGCGAATGTGGTCATTTTAAATCTTATCTTATCTTGTATGATCGCACATCCATCTTAGCATTCATATCTCTACAACGCTCGTCTTATAGATATGTCTGGACTTAACAACCCAGCACTTATTACCATATGACATTGACGGTCTTATAGCTATTCTATATAACTGACCTTTCACTTTGGTAGGCATCCTTCTATCACATAATACCCCGATAACACTTTTCCATTTCAACCATCATATTTTGATCATATAGGTAACATCTTCATCTATCATTCCGTTCTCTTGAAACAACGAACATGGATATCTAAATTGTTTGTATTTTGGCTCTGCAATCCCATCTAGTCTCACCTCAACTTTATTATTCTTATGCTGACTAAACTTGCATTGCAAGTACTCAGCCTTACTTCTATTTATCCTAAATCTCTTTCTCTCCAAGGTGCTTCTCCATATCTCAAACTTGTAGTTGACATCCTCGTTAGTTTCGTCAATTAAGAAAATATCATCAGCAAATAATATACATCATGGGATCTCATCTTGTATCATGTTAGTTAGCTCATCCCTAACCAGGGTAAACAAGTAGGGGCTCAATGCCGACGTAAACCCATTGTTATAAGAAACTCCTCTATACCTCCTACACCTATTTTCATACTAGTGATGGTTCCTTCATACATTTCCTCTATGGCATTCCTTTAAATAATCTCTCCACTTTATTCAGAAAAATCTATTTAGAAAAGTAAGGAAATATCACATTATCTAATGTTACACAACACATTGTTCAGAATCTTGGACACAAAAAAAGAACAAGAAAAAGTATTAGGTATTCAATCAACAACATCTTCCTAAGCGAGTCCTTATGTTGCCTTTTAAAACAATGGTCACAGTTAAGCAGAACCTTCCAACAGTAGATGCAGAGAAGGTGCTACATAAATGATCAATATTTTTGTCCAGAAAAGGGCCAAATATACTCATTTACTTTGATATATTATTCATATTTATCCTCCGTTATATTATCGGGTCAAATTTACCCTCACCGTTAGCAAAGGTTTCAAATTTAGCCTCCAATCTAACGTAAAGCCCCAAAATCCCAAATTCCTTCTATTTACTATAATGTTTTCTCACAAATTACTTATCCCTGCGTGTGCTCTACCAGAGAAGAAAATATCCTCTACAAGTTGATTTCTTGTTCCATTTGATTATTTAGAGCAGGAAGACTTAAGAAACTCGCCACCTCCGGACATGAGAACACTAGTAAATATTCCTTTGAAATGATGTTCTGGACATAAATTTAAACAAATTATTTAATTTAGGATTTCTCAAGCAATACTAACGAATCATATGTCACAAATTTCATGCAAAATTGCATGCACAAGCAAAATTTCCATCAAATGACATGCTAAATCCAAATCCTAAAGGGAATGCATTTACATGGATACCTACGGCCTTGCTATGCCTGTAGTCCATAAAGAATAGTAAATATTAGTAACAACTTCATAAGCGAATACATTTTAATCACCTGAAGAATCAAATAAATCTCTTTCAAATTATCTATGGTATTTCACTCATCCTCATTCCGTTAGAGACATACCCATAAAATGTGAATTATGCCTTTCATTTATGGTTTGAGCATAACCAAAGACAAGGGGAATAATTATGATGTAACTCCACACGGTTACTTCTATAATATGGACCTTTTTTCTTCTCTGGTGGATCACACGGAGGAGATGACTGACTTGTGAGGAAGAATTGCAATAAATAGAAGGTATTTGGGGCTTTCCGTTAGGTTAGAGAATAAATTTGAAAACTTTACTAACAATGAAGGTAGATTTGACCCGATAGTATAACGGAGGATAAATATGAATAATATATCAAAGTAGAGGGGTATTTAATCATTTTCCCATTTCTGTCCAATGTCCACGATATGTTCTGAATTCTTTCTTTCAATTCTGAATTTAATATCTCGCAATTCAGACAAATCTAGCCCCCCAAAAAAAATGAAAGTAACAAGTTCATATAGGTGATGCCAACTAAAAAAAATAGAGCTTACTAGAAGAGCCGTAACTAGAGTCTCTTAGAAAACTCCTAGCATTAGATATTCTTTGTACGGAGTAACAGAAATTTTACTAATCCAAACAAAATATTTATAATATTGAGAATTCATGTGGCCGGCTTCAATTAGCTTGAGATTGAGGCAATAGTCAGTGTTATTGTGAGTCTAATTTTTATATATTAACTGTGTGCTTCTTTTTGTTTCCTCTATTAGATCAATTAAAATCAACGATAAAGTAACCGTCTATTATAAGTACAATTAATAACTTTAAAATATCAAGCAAATAATCGCTACAACAAATTAAAATACACGTATAATATAAAAATTATATACTAGTTAAATTCTTCTTTATTTGGAGGGTTGTTGGCCATTGTGAAAGGGCATGGCGATAAAAGAAAAGGATGATTAATGTAAAAAAAATTTCGCACCAAATGTTTACACCAAATCAATAAATGAATGACATTTATTACCTTATTAAACTATAACTAATGGTCTTTAGTCATAGTTAACTTATATTTATTTTGCACGTAATTTTAAATAATACTACTTGCTTAATATTCTAGCTATTTCCGTTAAGATCTTAACATACGTTAAATAAATGGAAAAGAAGGAACAATGCCGTTAGAAAAGCAAATGAATATCAAACAGTAGGGCACCCCAAATCTCCTTCTTTCTTCATACAGCAAAGAAACACATGTTTTGTTGAGGTGAGAGCATTGCTATTGCGTTAATCAAATAATTTTTCTCAATGTATTATAATAATCACAATCTTTATTGATTTTTTCAAAGCCTTGTAAAATTTAGTAGTTTTTCACAATTTTCAGTTGTTTCTCGACTCCCCTCCTCTATATAAGTAACCCCTTACTTCCCCTTCTTCCCATGCTAACTTTCAGAATTACTCTTTTTATCTGCAATGAAGAAATAAAAGTACGAAGACACAAGATGCAAAATGCTAGAAAATGATAACATTGGTTATTCTGATTCTCTACCTATTTAAAAATTTTGTTTATTAAAATTAAAACATTTAATAGATTTAGAACTCTTAATAAACTTTTATTTATCTCTCATAGTTAATTTAACTAGACTTAATGTAAACATGTAATTTAGCGGTTGTTGACTAATTAACATTATTATAGCTTTCCTTTTTTTTTTTTTTTTGGAACCCCAGGAAAACGCTCAACCGCTACAGCCTCTAGCCTTTTGGTGAGCACTATGTGTGCACTGGGTAAACCTTCACTGTGTAATACTCTACAAATCATACAAAGTACGGAAAAGGTCCAAAACTGCCCCTGAAGTATCGAAATTGGTACAAAAAGGCCCTCCGTCCACGTATTTGAATAAAAATGCCCCTACCGTTATTTGTTTGGCTCAACATTGCCCTTATTACTGACAGAAAAATCTGGAAGATAAAAAATAGTTAATTAATATCCATGTGTCACCGTTCCACCGGCTTAACTTAAACTTCAACTAAAATATAACTAAACTCACCCTTAACCCGTCCGAATATTGACCCGCTTCGATTTTAAAACCCAACTCTCTCTCTCTCTCTCTCTCTCTCTCTCTCTCTCTCTCTCTTATTGTTACTTGGGAGGAATTCACCGGCGGATCCGCCGGAAATAGCAACGTACACAGTAGCCTCTCTCATTTGCAAATTATGAGTAGAAAATTCTTTTTTACTAGACTTAACACAATAATCTAATCGAGAAAATTGAATCCACGATAACAATCAAAATAAGAAAATAAATACTGAAGAAATTATCTTAAAAAATTATTAATTATTATTAGTACATCATATGAACCCAGTGTGTATGAAATGTGACAATTGCATAATACCCGTTACACGGAGTAGAAAAGCTTACATATTAATTGAATAAATAGTGAAATAAATAAAAATAATAGAAATACACATCACATAAATAAAATAAAAAAAATTGAAAAACAAATCCTCAAATTTTCACGGAGGAATGACAAAAAATAGTGAAAAAATCCTCCCACAAATTTTAAATAAAGGAAATTATATAACAAAGAATACCCATTGTATAAACAAAAAGAATCTAAACCTTTTGCATTAAGAAGAATATAACAATTCATTCCATCTTCCATAAAAATAATTCTAATAGAGAACTCAATTTTGAGTTTGCCTCATGAATAATAGTAGACATACACTCGTAAGTAAATGCTCATTAATATGAAATGGCGAAGAGAGAGAGTTATGTTTTAAAATTGGGGCGGGTCAATATTTGGGCGGGTTATAGGTTGGGGTTTATGTTAGACCAATGGGACGGTGACACGTGGATATTATTTATTTTTTTTTAAAATAAATTTTCTGTTAGTAATAAGGGTAATGTTGAGCCAAAAAAATAACGGTAGGGGCATTTTTATTCAAATAGGTGGACGGAGGATAATTTTGTACCAATTCTAATACTTCAGGGGCAGTTCTGGCCCTTTTTCATATAAAGTATGTAAACCGCACTAGACAAGCCTGTGCGACATACTCAAACTCAGAAGACATTGAAGGTGGATGATCTGAGGTGATATCCATACATAACCCCTCCAAACCAACTGGGTCGTCCCGAAGGACTTCTTTTCTTTATTATTGTTTTTCTTAACACAAATTCCATCTCGTCGGAACCAATAAGTATCGTAGCAACAGAAAAAAAAATCGATATTTTCTAATGAGACTCTTAAATCTTATGGCTGTACCAATATCCACGCTATTCTTAGCCCAAGGTTTTGCGTGAACCGGCCGGTTCATCCTTAAACCCTTGTCTAAGATTTAACAAACGTGGACAATCCAGAGTGCAAAAACCNCCAAACCCCCCAAACACACAACACACAATTCATAGCAATTTTGATAGAGAAATTCGCAACCCCAAAAAAGCAATGTTGGAGAGCAGATTAATTTCAATCTTAAGGCGAAACAAAGATTTGGGTCACAAGATTTCATCAAATCTTGGAAGATGGGGGTTTACTGCAATAAAAATTTCAAATGAAGCTTCTTTTTCAATATTGAATCAACACAGGCTCTTTTCTACTATCCCAAAAATTCATCCTATAAGCAGAAGCTCTATTGCAAGAACCTTTATTAACTATGGTTTAAGATCTTTTCATCATCTTAATCACAAGGTTGGTTTTTTCTGCTTTTATTTTTGAGAAAGTTGTCTCTTTTTTTTAATAGTTGTGTTTTACCCTGTAGTTGAGCTTAAATGAAGAAATGAGGATTGATATAGCTGACCTCAACTTGTTTGGGACTGAGACATAGTTGTTGTTGAGAAGTATATCTAGCTATATAGAAGCATTGTTGGATTATGTCACCTTTTTTGTTAATTGAACATGTTTTGTTTAATGGATTTTATGACAATTATGTGTATATAATGCAGTGTTAGTTTTTTTGATATTTGTAGTAATTTGTAATTTGCAAAATGGTCTACATTTATGCATCGTTATAATTCGTGTGATGGATTCTGTCTCTGTGGACTAGTTTCATTGTCTTGTTTTCTTTTTGTTTTTAATAGAAAAGCCTCCTTATGGTCCCCCCCCC